GGTAATGGTGCTGGCGGTGGTGACAATGGCAGTTCTTAGAAGGATGTCCATGGAGGTTGCAGTCGGGATGGAGGCATGGCGCTTTGCGTGATAAACCTGTTCGTACTCGACTACAGTCATAGCCTCATAGCGGCCGCACTCATGCGGGTTTTCAAGGAAGACACGTTGCAAGTGTCGCCAGAAGTAGGTCTGCTGCACCTTACGACAGAGGATAGATCCTTTGCTGCCGCGAGAGCGTGAGACGGCGGTTTCAGAGCTGCTGAGGGCTCTGTTCTTGTCGTAGGCCTGGCGCACAATGTCGGCCAGGGTTGAGGTGACGCGGACGGGGGTTGGTTCGATGTCAGTAGAGATCTGCATGACTGCGAGCTGAAGGCTGCAGGGCAGGGATGCCAAAGCAGAAGAGGGGGCCCCGGTGGTACAGAAGGCGTGCCTTGTCGGTCATGAATGTGAGAAGACCCTTCATAAAATTTCAGCTTTGAAAAATGGTCCACAGGCATCAGGGAGGAGAGCAGTAGATTCCATTTGGGTCGCGACCTACGCGCGTGCTTGGCTTATGACGCATTGCTGATTAGAAGCAGCGGGTAACGACGATTAACAACCCCGTGGGGAAAAAGGGGTCATGTGCAGCTTGTGAGCTTGGGTGCGTAGGATTGATGGGTTTGTAGGATATGCAGAATGTATTGATCATAACGCCGCGGACCAATGTTCTGGTTCCTGGTCTTTGCAAAGAAAGCGGGCGACGACCAAGCCAAGTGAGGGACCCAGAGCATACCCTTCTTGGCGTTCCGACGAAGCCCAAACCTTACTCTACGAAACGATCCGCCAGAACAAGGTTCACCTATTATGTGGAAACGCAAGCGGTCTGTTCGTTCTCCTGCCCATCGCAAAACTCGGACAGCAAAAGACGCCGTAGGGCCCCGAACGCCCCACCCCCCTACCGTTGAATTCCCTTTAATTCTTCAAGTGCGGAGCTGAGCTGCCTTGCTTGGGTGATGGGATATGCAGTCCTTCACAGCCTGTACAGGCCTCAAGCTGGCAGACTGACTTCTTCCTTCGCCAACCACATCCTATTCTGGGCTGGCATCTCGTCCCGTAAATTTCTTGGGAATAAAAGCAAAGAAGTGAAGACCGATCACCATTGCAAACTGGTTGGGGTCTGCCCGCCTTTCCAACGAGTGAGCCTCGCGAGGCAAGGTAGTATTTCAGAATCGGTTGCCGTCAAGGCACAACTAGGCACAACTTTACATCCCTAGAGACCGATGAAAGTGTGCTGGTTCACACAATACGTCGCGATTTGCTGATGCAGCTGATGGGCTTGAATTTGAATTTGGCACAAAGGATGCCATTGCTGACGCAAAGCATCCGCCGACTTGGCCTGAATTAACATGTAAAAAAAGCGTGAAACTCCTCACTCGATGCGAGTCAAGGCAGCAGCACGATTGGGTCAGTAGCCTGTCAGTGCGCACGGAAACTGTTAGAAGGCAGCGGGGCTTGAAATGGTTATCCTTGGCAACGGATGAGGCAGATGAATCTGGCAGCACACCATGAGCCAGCGTTATGGGAAGGGCCAGTGATGGACAGGGGCAGCAATGTTGTTCAAACGCCTAGCTGCGTCGCGTGGTGCACCTCCCCCTTGATGATGCACGGCACGAAGCAGAGCGATGTGACCTAAATTCACTTGAAGCTCTGCTATGTGTCAAGCCAGATCTCTTACACCTGCCTCATCTTTGCAAAAACAACGAAAGCTGAACGTGATTAAGAAAAAGACGAGCTCAGTGGTGTGTACCTTGCTTACCTTGCGTACCTTGCTTCTGCGAGTAAGGAGGAGCACAAAGCTCGAGTTTGAAACGTAGTACATCCGAAGTGTGCCTTCATGCCACCCAAAGGTGGTCTCGTTCGTATGTCTCAATGAAAGGGCAATTATACTTGGCCGCTGACACAAATGCGAGGCACCAGCGAGTGGGTGGGCGTGGGGGTTGGAACAAAGTGTTGGGCATGAGCCTGGGCCAAGCAGCCTCGGGTGCACATTGTGGTGACAATGCCAAATTTAATATTTCAATGTGCAGTATTACCACATTCAAGCTGAAGAGGGTGTGATAGCTCTACGCATTATGCACTGTGCTCAGCCGGATGTGATGCCTCAGGCGAACAGATGAGACACCAGCTCAATTAATGTGCCAGTGCTTGCGCAACAGGCTCTTGTCTATATAGCGGGCTAAATCCCGCACGCTGGGCAGATACATCTCCACCAGCAGCTGATACACGTCGTCACCCAGGCTCTCATACGGCTTGCTGTCCGTCTTGCTCTTTACAGCTTGTAGCGAGACGTAACCACGAGCGTTGATTCGCGTCAACGGTGAATAATCAAAGAAAGGAAGCCCCAGCCATGTCTGAATATCATTGATGTGAGAGATCATATCCTTGGACATGGCCTCGTACAGGTTGAGGTGGATCTGATCGCGTGGATAATACTGCGTGATGACATCGAGCTGCTCAGCATAGAAGCCGCGCTCCAAGATGGCAAACGCCATGCTCTCGTTGTGCGAGATACGTGTGCCACGCGTCCCGTCCAGACGTGTCAGCAGGACGGTCTCAAATTGCTTGCTAGTGCACGAGTCAGTCGGCTTGGAAAAGTCCTCGCGGGTGGCGCCAATGGCTTTCAAAAAGGCGTTGACACGAGGTCTCGTGTGGGGATTGCGTTCATCATAGACAATGACGCGATCAGCATGCTGTGTACCAGGCTTGCCAATTAATACATCGCCCTCCCGGCAGTTGTGTTGGAAGTGGGAGTACGCTCGGGCCCTAGGAAACGAGAAATGCATATTTGGGACACGGGGATGGAGGCAGAGATAATAGTTAGAGGCAGAGGCAGAGACAGAGATCATAGTCAGAAGATCAAAGTCAGGTTGAGGTAGAAAGATACAAAAATGCAGACACAAGCAGACATTAGCACACGGATCAAGAGGCGCAGCGGAGCAAAGCTTCAAGCGGAGTCACAGAATCAGGTTAACGTACGCCGGATCACGCAGAGAAGCAATGAGGCGCACAGACGGCAGCAGGCTATGCATACGCGCTACTCGGGCTGCATCCATGCTGATAATACTAAATAGTCGTACAACAAGCGAGCGAGTGAGAAACGTTTAGGCTTCGACTCTTCACAGACGCATTCGGCTTGCACTGGCCGAACAAGGCCAACAAGACACACCCGGGGGTCTTCTCAAATGTATATACATGCGAGACGTTGGCGAAGCTGTCCATCTCAAACCCAAGCAAAGCATACTTGCGCCAGCCACTTTGAAATTTTG